GACGAGAGTGGAATTGAAAAAGAATGCAGATATTTTAACTCGTTGCTTTCCACAGTGGTTCGAGAGGAATTACTGATAAATTAACTTTATAAATAGATTATTAGTCTATTTAATATACTAATGACATGGTCTGATCCATCGAGGGTTCATATTTTTATGTAGGACCGTTTGATTGATCCAATGACTGCGTGGTAGAGCAAGAGGATTTGACGACATATTAAACATAGAAATTTTTTTCTTTGACTAAACGATTCAGTGAACAAAAGCAACATTAATCTCATGTGATTGTAGTAATAGAAAAACAAACGAAGTGAACCGATAAAAAGTAATGCCACAAAAATACATGCTTTTTTTTGACACATCTTATTAAATAAATATCTATTTGCCTGGAGCTATTGTATAACCACTGAAGACATATAATTCATAATAAATACTATTTCATCTTCTCGTGAGTTGAGGTTTATTATATACATATTAAAACCATTCTTGATTATCCTTCAGCTGTCCAATAATGACTCGATAATCAATTGTATGCCTTAGTATGTGTAATTAGCCGAGTTATCGTGAAACTTTCGTAACATACCTAAGTCACTAGTGTACTTCTTTATTGATTGATATCACACGGAAATTACGAAATGTCTGTATTTGGTGTAGATAAAGAACATTCCGTTTCGGGAAATCCGATTGTTTTCTATTTTTGTCAAAAATATCGATTTTGTAGGTCCGATATTTCAAAGGCGAAGCAATGAAAAACTATATTCTTTTCGCCAGTTAATAGCTCATGAAGTTCACTACAAATTTTTTTTAATCGTTTTCAAATTCAATGGTGCCTTTATTTTCTGCAATTGTTTGATAAAAGGTCACTCCAATGACCAACGAGATTCAAGTGCTGAAGGGATGTTCTTAGATTTTTCTTGTTTTATTTTCTTAGTTTCTCTTTAAGAAACTAAATTTTAGATTGTTTTGCTAATTCGGTTGTATCAATTATCAAACAACTATCTCATTCTATTTTTTATTGAAGATTCTTTTCTTATAAACATGTTGAAAAAATCGAATATGTTAATTTATTTCTTTTTAATAAGTTAAGATTTATGAATTCTATACACTTTACAATAACCAACATGTTTCAAATACTCATTTAAATATAAATGATTGATAAGTTGATTTGAACAATACGTGACAAATTATTTAGAAAAAAAATGAGTATGTTTTTATATAACGTTATTTCAATTTTTTCTTGTTTAACAAAAAACGAAAGTTGTTACGTAGCACATTAGGCCTTGGTAACGTACAACACGAGAAATTACTCATGTTCTGAAAGAATGGCACTCTAAGTATGATTTTTCATTCTGTTTGTCTATTCTTTGTTTTTTTATCTCAAGGAATATACATCATGTGTCTATAATAGGGTATTAAGCAAAATATTATAAAAGATAAGGAAAACATCGATTAAAAATAAGCGAACAAATAGACACCATTCTATACAGTTTCTTTAACGTAAGTATAACAGGTACTTTTTCAGATAGTTAGTCACTTGTCACATATTAATATGAATCGAATTTTCAAAAATATTTTTTTGATTAAAAGAAAAAAATTGAGAATAATTCTCTCGTAAAAATTGAATGGCGCATTTATCAATTTTTCATCGAATGACGATAAAAATTAAAAAAGATTGATTAAATTTAGAAATATTCGATATCAATGATATTATTTATTTATTTATTTTAAACAGGATAAACGATGTCAAATAATGTAAATGCATGTGTTCCTTTCAATGAAATCGAAGGAGTAGCATCAACAAATGTTCCAGCTTATTCAAACAAAAAAAGTCAATACTTTAGATGTGGTCGTCATTTTGTTTATGGAGTTTTTACTGGTTATCAATGGCAGTGTGTTGAATTTGCTCGTCGATGGTTATTGATGCGTAAAAGCTGTACATTTAAAGATATTCCATGTGCATCTAATATTTGGAATGATTTACCATATATTGAACGAGTTACAGACAGTCAATATTTTCAATTGCGTTCTGTTCCAAATGGTTCTCCAGAACCACCAAAAAAAGATTCATTACTTATTTATCCTCGTAGTAAAAAAATGCCTTATGGACATGTTGCTATTATTACTGATGTAACAACAGATTATGTTCATATTGCCGAACAAAACAATTTATATCATTATTGGCCTGGTGATTATGCTCGTCGAGAACAATTAAGATTTCATAATGGAAATTATTATATTGATGATGAAGATCCAATTTATGGTTGGATGGAAATTGAAAATAATCATGAATTGCAACCCTTTGATGAATCGAACATTGATAATATACTTGAGCAATATTTATAATTTTAAACGATGGATGGAGTTTAATGTTTAGCCTATTTGAACAAGTATATGAGCTATAAATAGAAAAATAGTTCATCAATAGATGTATATCTTTTTTTTTGTAATTTATTAATGTGAAAGATCTGCTTTTTTGTAACGATAAAACAAAGAAAAGAAATTCTTTAAAATGAAAATTTGACAATGCACGATAAGAATCATCAATGATGAATCAAAATTCTGCACATGATTTTATTTTATAGTAAATTGAGTTTCTTTTTCTACCCCTGTGACTATGCTAAATATGGTTTGTGTTCATATATTAACCGTCTGAAATCCAAATCAAACATTAAAACAAGCTGACCCATTGAAATATTTTCTTTTTAATGTCTTGTTTGAAATTTTATTACTGTTTTTATTAGTAATTCAAAATAGTTGCTTATTTATAGACAATTCTGATGATTATTGATGCAAATCAAAGATAGTTGTTAACAGTTATGTGACTAGAACGAATCAGGCTTCCAACAACAAAATACTTGAAAACTGTATTTTTTATATGTGCTTCCATATGTAGTTAACTGCAAAAAAAAACACAAGCTTCTCAGCAAAATTTTTGTCGTATGTAGAACTCGTTAAGCTTAGAATTTTGGTAAAAAATATTCAAATTTACTCGATAAAACGTGGTACTAGAAACAAACTGTTCAAAACTTTTGGCTATTCCTGACTGCTACTAAGTGGTAGTGGATATTTTTGAGTATTTTGATCCTAACATCATGATTTATTGAGTAAATTGTAATATTTTCTTAGCAAAATGATCAGTGCAACGAGCTATATAGTTTCGAACAAGTTCAATGTTTATTTTTATTTGGCGCTCTATGCCGTGTAATCTTCAGAATAGAGGACTATCATTTAAGTGATACATCTGAACTAAATCGAATGGAGATCAATGAGCAATTGGTCAATAATTCGAAAGAAATGTAGCATGTCTAATTCAATATTATACTGAAGAAATGATTTTAAAAAAATATGACTTTTTGAAATGTACTGTCAGGATTTATTAAACTGAATTATTTCTAGATGGCCGATACTTTGAGAAAAGTTCATAAAAGTGACATAATATGAATTTCAGATCAAATAATGTCAGCTTGTCTAAAACTCTTCTGTTTACCATCAAAGCTAACATGCAAAGGTTACTGATACGACAATTAATTGTAAAATGAACGATAAATAATGCTATAGTATGATAAATTTCATTTATTTGTCTGTCAAAATAATGATCTACATATAAATACATATTATTATGACGATAGTTTATTGGAAACTATGTCTAATAATTCAACAATTATCAACATGATTACAAATAATTCACAGATGCTGCTTTACCATCTACTGCTAAAATTCCTTTTGTATTCCTCTGATTTCTATGTAAATTTACAATTATTCTTTGCTTTTCATACATTTATGATGCATTTAGAGAATGGATTTGACAAATTCAAGTCAACAAGGAATGGTTCCTTCTTCGAATATTAGATAATCTCCAATTGTTTTTACAAACTATTCTCTTTTTCGAGTTGGCATCTTCGAAATAATCGAGGAAACTTACTTGGCAAGACTACCTAAAGCTTATGAATTCATATTTCGATATGTGGATGTATTGTGGAAAATATTGGACAAAAATCAAATTCACATGTGCTCGTACAAGATGTATGACGGTCAGTCAAAGATTCTGTTTATTAAAATAAAGTTGGAAAATTCGACTAGGATACTATAAATGATGATGAGCAAGTTCATATTATATCAATTCTTTCTCAAGGAGAAAGAATATCAGACGTAGTGTATCACAAGTAGTGTATGTTTATGACTTTGAGAGATCGTGGAATATGAAGACTGTTGGTCGACAACTCTATCAAGAACAAACTCAATATTAAACATTTCTGAAATAAAGCTAATCTCAAAATTCTACTCATTGTTGATCCAGGAGTTTTATCACAAGATAAACCAATTTTGAATGGCAGACTATTTCTCTCTGATATATTTTTAATAAATATTATTTAGTTTATCTATGCTGAAGAAATAATGTTCCATAAGAATATAACTGAATAATTATAAAAATCATTATTCTGATATTGACTATCTGTAACTTAATTACGAGGAGAGACATACTTAAATCAAAGAAAAATTTTTGTTTGAAAAAAGTTAGATATCTTAATCTTCAAAATTATAATAGCCATTTATATCAAAATAATACAATAAAAATTTGTAAAAATTCTGTTGCTTTTAATTTCTACATTCTAATACATATCAGACATAGAAATGGTTAATATTTGATGAGAGAATAAAGTAAAACAAGTACAAAACATTAATAAAAAGAATACATTGCTTAATATACTTTGAATAAGAAGTAAACTAACTCATTCATCCATTTTTACGAATGAAAGTAGAAGTGCGACTCCAGTACTTCGAAATATTGAAGTTGTACTTTTTTCTCTCGATAACTAAGCATTAGACACGTGACGTGAGTATTGAATGGATCTTTTTTTTTTGATAATAGAGTAGACTTTCAAAAGTAATAGTCGAAGATATGAATAAATCAGTTTTCTTTTGTGTTCTAAGTTTGTCAAATGTACTTTAGCTTTATTCTATACGTATTGACTAATATTCACACAATCAGAGTTGTTAATATATATGGAAGATTTTCTATTTCTTTTTTGTTCTATAGCTTATTCAAATATATTTGTGTTACAAAATCTATCGGAAGCATTGGTTATAATTAGATTGATATATATTGCGAATAAGTGGTAACAATGAAGTTCATTGCAAAAGTAATGCTTATTTTAATTCATGAATAACTATAGAATAAGAATTCAATTTACTTATTACTGATTTACTATCAGCACGGCTCTTTAGGATCTTTAATAAAAAGCCATTATTATTTATTTAATACAAATAATGTTTTGATGATGTTCTATTTTTATTGTTAGTTTTTATAAATAGTCAAATTCTGTTATAATATGTTCTTATCGCAAAACAAAAAGAACAATTAGAGAACTTCAGCAATCGCGGTAAAAGGGGCATCATTCAAGTCGTGTTGCAACAAGACTGCATCAATTGCTTGTGGCAATGCATCAACTAATTCTTCACCAGTGATTTGTTGTCGAACAATTTTAACAAGTAAATCATAAAGTCCATTCATTTCACCTGCTTGTAATTGATTTGAAAATAATAATTTGGCAAATTCAACGCCTTGTGGTTCTAAACTTTCTAATGATTCTTGTTGTTCTTCTGTTACTTGGTTATCGGCAAATTTAATTGCTTTTTGTATTGCAGTAATAAAATCAATCTTTGAATAAGCTTGAAAAGCTTGTAATTCTTTTAAAACTCTCAAAAGAAATTCATGACGTGTCATGCCAAATAAAGCTGCAGCATCATCAATGCCACCACGAATATTTGGTGGAAGAATATTAACTATTTGGTTGATAAGAAGCTGTGAGATATAAACAGAGTTATGTAATAAAAATCATGAATTTATATGCATTATAACATACTTGTTGGAAGAAGTTTCGCGACTAAAATAATGATCAGAAAAACAATTATTATTATATTAGATTTACATTTTATTATGTTATTAAAGCTAATATTGTTTTCTTTTCTAACAAATACTATCGATTTAAAGAGAATCAAGAGAATTAGAGTTTTCTATGAAATACTAATTATTATTGTTTCTAAAATTCTGATTTATATTTGTTATAATTACGAATTAAACATTAGGTGTGATACTTTGACAAAATATAGAAAAGTGTTACTCTCTTTAAAATAGGCTTGCTAATTCAAATTGAAATTGTATTTTAAGCATCCGAATTTTTTGTTCTAGTCATCTTTGTATAAGTATAAAAATGATAAAATTATGTATAGAAGAGATAACTTTGTATAAGACTTCTATATACTAAAATAACAAAATCTTCTAAATATTATGTGAAATATTTCACTTGATATCCTGTTCATATTGATTTCAGATTCGAAAGGGAACAAGCTATTCTATGAAAATTGAATTTTCCTTCAATTAACTCGATTTCTTTTTACGACGCTGAATATTACTTTTGAAGCTAAAACTTGTCTAATACAACTAATATGAATTATGTATATGTTAAAAGTCAATAGAAGGAAATTAAAATGGTTTTTTGTAATCTCAATTTTAAGAGAGTAAGACTTTTTTTGTCATTCCAAAAAACTCACTCAATTAACTGACCAATGTTTGGACAACTAATCGAGTAAAAACTTACACATTTCTATAGGCCAGTTTACAATAGAAAAGAAGAATTATTTTAATTTTATTGTTTAGATATAAAACCAACCTGTACACGTCCAGTATCATCGGCAAAAACCGAATCTGTTAATACTGATGGAGATTCAGCAGTAAAACTGATGGCTAAAAGTGCAAAGAAGGCAGTGATGGCGAGAATTGATGATTGCATGATTATAATGTAGATGGATATCCTGTCGAATTACTTGTGTGATGATATTTATAAGAATAGTGTCGATAGGACATAAAGTCAAGATGATGAGAAACTAACCAAATGTCATTAGTACTCATTTAATAATAGTTTATTTTCAAGGTCATATTGTATTGTTTTCTCATCAAGTATTTATTCCTTTTTGAAAATTGCAGCTCGAACCTAACGATCGTCCATTGTTATTATGAGAAAAAATGTCACACGTTTATCTTTATTTACTTGAATAGATATTAACACCCACTAGTATGACAATAAATTCAAGAAATGAGAACCATGATCAACTATTTATTTATTTATGTCTATGCTAAATCACTCAAAATATTGAAAATAATAAATCCGTATGCAACTTTGAAATTGAAATATTAGCTCATTATAACCATATGAGTGATTTTCAACTATATATAATTGAATAAATAATCACCATAGTTTATTTATGAAACAAAATAAATCAAAAATTTTTATTTTCTTCTGCCGTCTCAAATCAGAAATAAACGAATTTCTTTTCACTCTTCATATTCATTAAAAAAAGACCTGTAATTCAATAAACTGAAAGCGCATCACAACAGAAATTATCAATTGCATCTTATTTCTACTAGTTTCATGAACGAAAATAATTTTTGGCCAAATTCCATACTCCTCGAAGAAAATTTGATTTTTTCTAAGATAATCATCATTATTGACTAGAAAGAGAGAACAGTAACTTCACGAAATGAATGAATAAATTAAATGAACGAAACGACAATAGATAATGTTGTCACATGTTACGACGTGCATTTTCTTTAGATGCGATCATAAGGGTTTTTTCTCTTAATACTTATGCACTTATGTTCTTTTTTTGTCTCTTGTTGGTAGTCATGCGTCAAGGACTTTTCCTTTTCTGTCATGCTTGTGTAATGAATTATTTTTTCCCTTCTGTTCTTCTTTATTTCACATTGTTCTAGGAATTTTCGTTTCTTTATTCATCGTTTATGATATTTTCCATTATGGATTTTTCAGTCCTTGTTATCATTCTATACATAGCGTTATGTTGTTGCAAAAGGAGGAATTATTGTATTTTAGATATAATTATAAAAATAAAGTATAAGTGGAGTTAAGATCTAACGTCACAATATATCTTGAGTCATAATTATGAATAATCAAAATAATTTTAAAAAAAATGATTTCTCTTTTTAGAATGGCACAGATATTGCATCGTATACACTGATAATTGCATTTCCTGCTAAAAAAATTTTTTTTTTCTTCAAAATTGAATAAAAACATGACAAGCCCGAAGACTAGTGTCTGTGTTCGTATTAGATAGACTCGATGACCTGTTTAAACTTCTGATAACAATCTCAAGAAAGAGAATTCAATGATACATTGCTCGAGAATATATGTGATGAAACAAGTCTCATGAAAAAGCTTTAGAACCTGAATGCCGTCTATAAAAAGTGTAATAAACAATCCTTAATTAATTGAATTTGTTTTTCTTAATTTTTTTTTGTACAATCTATTTGTTATCAAAGTTCCTGCTGTCATAAGTTAATATTTTTCTTCATAGAATTTATCGAAAGAGCAACAGATGTTAAGCAAAATTGTAGCTTACATGCTCTTGAAGTATGAATAATATTAGAGAATATTGATGTTTTTCGTTGAATATAATTTCTATAAATATCAAGATTACTAAAGAGTATTCTTTTAACAAAAAATACATCTTTCAAGTTTATCAAAGTTACTTAGAAACATTGACTTTTGCCTCACAAAATTTGTCTTTTCACTTTATAAAGCAAATTTTCTCATTCTGCCTCTTGTATACAATGTTTTATTTTCATCTAGAATGTATCTCATTTAGCAACAAAATAAATATTGAATCAGTTATCTCTTTCAAAGATAATTTCTATTTTTGCTGAATTCTTTTTTATCTCACGGTGTTTTTCGCCGATTCCAACATAGCCGAAAGAGTTCATAAGTGAAAATGTGTCTGGATCAAATATGATCCGTTCTATATATAATATTTTATTATAATTAATCGGTTTATTACCAAATCGATTGACTACTATCTTAGTTGGTTCCTAATTGTATTAAATCTGTTGCCAAATCGAAAACAGATACCATCAGAAGAAGGTTTCATCAGTCTTCATTTTTACATCAAAGATTTATGGTAGGCTGTGAGTGTAGATGTTTTCTTCTTCACACTGACAACCACATCTGATTTAGTAACCAACTGAGATGGCAACCAATCGATTTGATAATAAATAAATAAATTATAATAAAATATTATATATAAAAAGGATTATATTTGATCCAGACTCGTTTTCGCTTATAAATTCATTTGGCAATTTTAAACTGAGCGAAAAACGTTGTGGGCGAACATGACTTTGTTCTTTTCAATTACTTGTATTGTATATTATGGTTTTTTTCCCTTTGTTTAATTCGACGCTCCTAAGCGTAAGAAAATGGGTGATTGTAAGTCAGGTTTTTTTCTTTTCTGTCTATTGTTTATACTGTCACTTCTCGATACGTATACAACATGAAACATGTTTCTTAGTGTTTTTTTTCTCGTTTTATCTGTAATGTAACATGAATCATGTATGTTACTTCACAACATACATCATCTGAAAGTACTTAAATTGGTGTTATAAATATGCAACCCTATTGATGAAATAGTAAAGATAAATCTACTAAGAAATCGAAAGCAAATTCAATTTGAAAAATGACAGATTCATCGATATCTTTCTTTCACCCAATTACTCACGAACTCATGCTAGATCCAGTCATTGATACCGATGGCAACAGTTATGAAAAAAAAGGAATTGAAGATTGGAATCGTCGAAATGGAACATCACCAATAACTCATACTCCTCTTTCTATCAATGATCTTCATCCAAATCAAGCTCTTAAAATATCTATTGATGAATATCATCATTCACTTCAACCAAATGTTAAATCAAATCTTATTCTAACAAAACAACATTCATCTGAAATAAAAGTATCTACAAGTCATACAAATGATCTTGTTCATATATCAATTCAACCTCCACAATATGAAAGTCGTTCTTCATGTGATATATGTTGTGTAGTCGATACTTCAGGTTCAATGAAAGCAGCGGCTGAAATTCAAAATGATAGAAATGAGCGTTACGGTTTATCACAGTTAGATTTGGTTAAACATGCCTTAAAGACAATCATTAATTCTCTTCAAAGTCAAGATCGATTATCAATTGTATCATTCTCCGATAATGCTAATATCTTATTTCAATTAACAAAAATGGATGATCAAGGAAAAACAAATGCATTGACTGCAATCGAAAACTTATCGGTAATTAAGTCATTCAAGAATATGTAGAAATTAAGGATAGTAATTAATAAAATATCTCTAGTTGATTATCAGAGATTTTTTAATTTAGACTAGATTAAATTGAATAGAATAATATGAATATTGATTAGAAAACTTACTAAATTTTCGAAAAATGTAAAATAAAATCAATTTTATTTTTATTTAATTTCTTCTGAGTTACCATTTGCATGATATATATATATATACATGATTGTTTGTATTTTTATTGATGATATTTTATGATGAAATATTCTTCAATTCATATAAAACTTTTATTTAGAGCTATGGTTCAACAAACTTATGGAATGGTCTTCAAACTGGTCTTGAAATTCTATCAAAAGAGCAACATTCTATTGGAAATATTTCATCTTTGTTTCTTCTCACTGATGGTTGTCCTACTGTAGAACCACGAGGTGGTCATTTAAAATCATTAAGAAAATTTAAGACAGAAATTAATTTTACATGTCCCATTAATACTTTTGGTTTTGGATACAACTTGAATAGCAAACTTCTTGAAGATATTTCTATATTAGGAAATTGTGGCTCATATGCATTTATTCCTGATGGATCATTTGTAGGAACAATCTTTGTCAATGCTATTTCGACACTGTTAACTACAGTAGCAACCAATGTATAGGTAATAATCATGTGTTGAAACCATGACTTTAGATATCACAGAAAAAAAAAGTATTCATGTGTTACACTAAGGGTAAACTCGAACTTGAATCGTAACAGAAATTATTACAAAATTTTTCATAGGCAATATATATCTATATATACACGCGGAAAAGTTTCTTTAGACTAGATGATCGTATGACATAGGTAAAGTAGTTTTGAACATCTCAGATTAATATTGATTTCAAAAAGTATAAACGGATTTGTAAAATGATAAGGACTACTATTACGGTCGAATCGATCATATCATTTTCGAGCTCATGCATCCTCTTACAAAAATGTTCAGTACTTTATTACCCTTCTATGATAGATATTGCTTCATGGTCACCATCTTCAAGCTACGGATTATACGCGTTGGTATTTAATGAATATCAGTATTAGAGGCACTTCTTTTCAGCTGGGCTCGATCATATATGGTCAAAGCAAGGATTTACTGATTCCACTTTCTTCTAGAATTATTCGTAATTGTAAATTCACGCTGACATATAACAACGTAGAAAACATGAAGAAATCTATNTTCGAGTTCCTACCATCTTTGATAATTTTTCAACCGAAACCGACTGGATCTCATCCTATCAGTACTCATTAGTAGATAATAAGTATTCGATTACTTAATATTAAATTGTCGATTGTGGATAAACCAATGATACGACTGGTACAATGGTATTGCGATTCTCTGAAGGTGTAACATGATTGCCAAGGCGAATTTTAAATATTTTGTATATCAATCGAATAAGTTCTTTTCTATAGATACGACCAGACAGAAGATATAAAAAGAAGGATGTGACATAAGAAGAATCAAAAAGTAATTGACAAATTGTAGATATAAAGAAAAACGTAGATGTTATTTGAATTCTATTTAGTAATGCTGACATAAGATAAGTAACACTTGCTGGTAAAGTAAGTAAAACATGTGCACTCACTTGTAGAAGAAGCATTCGAACCAATTGATGTTCAGTACGATTATGACGTGAAGTTGTTACTTGCATCACACGTGATCGATTTGAATTTTGAATAGTCATAACACCAAAAATTGTCATAAGACTAGGCGGAACGACAGCAAACAAAAAAACTTGTATGATTCGGTACACTTGGCTAACGATACTACTAGTTTGTACAGCACAAATATATCCTTTTTCTCCCTGTAAATTGGCCTCGACTAAGATGTAGATGGAGAAGAATGAAAGCGTGGTAACAATAATGAAGATCATCCATTGAGCTACGTGAACAGAACTGAATTTACGCATTTTACGACTTCTTGAACTGGCACAATATCTATCAATTGAAGCGAGTACAATCAAGTAAGGAGACAAATATGCAATTGTAGTGCTGATATAAGTTATTATTTTGCATGAGACTATTGAGCGATTAAACAAATTTATCTGATATCCAGTGGCTAATAAATTATAGGTAAAAATAATACCTGAATAGAAAAAATTGATGCGAGCAAGTGCAAGAAAATATCGAGAGCATGAATAATAATGTAAAGTTGGTCGAGTAAGTACAAAAATATTGAGCGAATTACCTATTACACCAACAATGATGATTATGGGTAAGATGGCTCGTATAAGTTGGATACCAGTCAATAGTAACCAATCGGACATTGTCTATTTTTATTTCTTATTCTTATCTTTGTGAGTGCATCTTCTTTTATAGGACTGAAACAAATTATTATGAAAATAAAGTTAATAGAATAGGATAATATAAATGACTTTTATCATGTCGGATATTATCCTTGTAATTTAGCTTTTCTACATCTTTTAATAGATCATATTATTAGGATGATTTATATAATACTGATGAATGAGTGTGAAAATCTACTATTGAGTTATCACATATGGAACGATATGTTTCCTTTAATCTTGAAAAACATAGTGTTAAAACAAATTGGTGAGTTTACTCCAACAATCTTTTATAATATGATGTCAAGAAGGACACTTTATTTTATATCAATCTTCGTTTTCTAGTTTTATTAACTATGTCAAAATAAACTTTTGAAACTATCCGTTGTTTAGCACAAAGATCAAACATTTATGAACCAATATTTTTTTTATTGATGAATAAAAATTCCATCTAATTCATCTGAAAATTATTCATCATTTCGATATTCAATTTGAAAACGATAATAATGTTTAGATATTTTTATAATATTCTATACGAAATTTTTACATATAATGATTTACCTATTCTCAATCAATTATTAATTTTAATTGAAGCTTTAATATAATACTAAATAATAACTACAAACTTAATGACCTTAAAGAAATAAAAATTTTTGTTTTTGAATATACTCAAATAGACGAATCTTAATTTTAAATCATCACTATAAATAACTTTTTTAATAGCAAAGAAAATTTTAACGAAATACTATAGAAATTGAAATAACTATAATATTTAATTAGAAAGACGTTTTCTTTAAATTGTGCTAAAAACTTTTTGAATGACATCTTATATTGTTATAATCATTAAAAATTCTCTTGTCAGTAAAAAATAATAAGTTCAATTACACAGAAAGTCATTTTTTATTTCATCTTATAACAATAAAAAGAAGAAAAAAAGTTATGACAATTCCTATTCATAACTGCCCTCTATAGTAGATTCATATTAATTGAATGAATCATGTCCAAATATTTGCATAAATAAACTAATCTATCGATCAATGAATGATTTACGTTAACGTAATATTTTTTGCAAAGACAGAATGTAACAAATTGTTTTTTTGCGTTTGATACGTTTGGATATAATTGTTTTTTAAAGACATAAAAAATGAATTTATTTCAAGAATTAACTTCACTTATTTTTTTATTCAATATATTATAGAAGTTATTTTATATCTTATCTGACAAAAAAAATTAGCAATTTTATGTTTCGTAATAATACTTTAAATTTTAGATAAAACAAAAGCACCTATTCTGATTGATTATCAAAAGAAAAACTTTCATTATAAATATCATTTTTTATAACTTGTACTAATTTTACAAACGCAGAAATAGAATAAAAGAACTAGAAGAAATTTATTTAGGATTTGTAACAAAAATAAACAGAAGATTAACAAAGACTTTCTGTGCTTACGAAAGATTCTCGTCTAAAGTTATTTATTAAACTGAAAAAATGCTAATGATTAATAATTATGAAAAAATGATTTGAATATTTGTTTATTTTAATGAAAGAAATTATTAATTTTATAGATTTGTTTTTGTACGTAATTTTCTATGTTTAAAATACTTCTAACATCTATTATACATTTTCATAATTAAAATGGTCAGTAATATAATGTATTCAAATTTACAACAAATTCTAACTCGTGCTTCTCTTTGTTATTATTATTCATCACAAAAATCTGAATGTTTGCAAGAAATTATTTCGTCTTATTTACATCGATTAGGACCAGGTCAGCTACCATCCGAACTTTCTGTTACTAGTTACGATGATACATCATTTATTCCATGTATGCTTGTACCACATGGTGCTTATTGCGATTCCGGACCACTTTATGCTCAAGCTTATTATTGGATAAATTCATTTGTCTTCGATACAGCACTTATTATTGGAACAAATCATTGCGGAATGGGTTCATCTAATGTGAGTTTTTCTCCTGACAATTGGCAAACACCTCTTGGTGTCATGGATATTGATATAGATTTATTTAATGCACTTATCTCAGTCTTAGGTATTCAAACAATCGATAGAGAAGCTCATAGAAAAGAACATTCAATAGAAAATCAACTACCATTTTTAAAACATTTACGATCAAAAGCAAAATTTGTTGCATTATCATTTTCAAGATTAAATGATCTAAATAAAGGATATCAAATATGTGAACAAATTGAAAAAGCAATCGATATATATCGACAACAGACAGGTATTATTGATGATTGTGAAGATCATAAGGATTTCAGTTTAAAACAAAAAAATCAAATTTTCTTTTCGGTTTTTTTACATCGAAGATTTTCTAAAAGGAATGTTCTTGTTTAAATCCGAAGTGTCTCTAATTATCAATAAGACAAGTCTTAATTACACATCACCAAATAGCGAAAGACTTAGATTGATGTAGGATGATTTTTTCAATACACTTTTCGTTAGACGACTTAGATGTTTTATGAGACTGTTGTTTTTATCTGTTATAATTGACTGAAAATATTTTTTTAGGTAAACGATTAGTTATTATTTCTACTACGGATTATACTCATTACGGACCTGGTTATGGTCAAATTCGAGCAGAAAATTTATCTGAAAATGAAGAATATGCTCGTATTCATGATAAACCTATTTTACAATCGATTTTATCGAATAATCCTGAACAACTCTTACAAACTCAATGGACGACTCAAAATTCAATGTGTGGACTTTGGCCATCGTTAATTATCATGATTTTATCAAAAATATTGAATAATAACAAAGGACATTGGAAACTTCTTTGTTATAATGTCAGTTCAGAAGTTATGAAACGTGGCAAAGATGTTTGTGGTTTTGCATCACTTGTATATTCAAACACTTTGTAAAAAACATATCTATTGTTCTGAAAATTTTTGGTTTTCAATAAATTGATTGATAGTTAGCTATTTACTTAAGAGGACCTTCATTCTTTCCGGCGTTTCTCGGAAACGTTTCAACGAAAAATTATGAAACTTTCAAGGAACACAGATCTGGAAAAGTAGGGTAAACGTTATCATAGGCTCAAAATTTCCAAATGCTTCGTTCAGTGGACTATGAAGATTGCAAATACCAAAAATAGCCGGAAGTTTCTCCTCTTCCTTGCAAAATTCTGTACTTCATTTTGTCGAGTTACACTTTATTTTCTTTGAAAAATACCTTTTCTAAAGCTCAAAAAAAGCAAAATACTGGAAGCATCATTAAAAAAAACATGTTTTCTTTTTATGTTTAAAAGGCTGCCAAATTTCGTAAGAACAATATTTTCAGGGAAAGAAACTACATACACCTCAATTTAACCAAAGTACTTGGAAAAAAAAATTGAGCCCGACTAGATGACCCTTGAAATGAGATACAATTATTATCATTGGGGAAGTTTTGTATAGAAAAGAATAATCATAGCGTGAGCTTGTCTGTTAGAAGTTGCGAAAGTTGGATTTAATAAAAGTACTAAATAACAAAGAACACCGCTTATTTATATGACATTTGATCGAGGACACTTCGAGGTTGTACTAGCAATGAAAAACTCCAAAAGTCGAAAAATTAAGAACATATGATTATTATTTGTTAATATTAAATATATGACGTAGAAAGATTTTTGCATTAGATATTCATCTGAATGTGTAAAATGTGCATTAACTCTTTCTCTATGATTGTATCATAGAATCAGAAGACATAACATTGACCGTTTCATGAATAAAATTTTGCATATTTAGCATAAAATGATTTGTTTATTATAACAATTGAAAACGAAAACATATTTCTAACGTGAATATTGCTACAAATAATCTTATTTGGTAACTTTTTAAACATTTTCAAGATTTTATCTTAGTTATAAAATCTTATTAACTTACAGAATGATCTCGAACCGCATCATCATATATTAAGACTTGTTGAAACAAAAACTAGATATGATTCTATCATTTAAAATTGAATAAAATTCAGCAAAACAAAACTATCTTTTTCTTGTCAAGAAATCTTTAAAAAATTTAATTGAATTAATCCCCGATCTATTATTCCTGATGATTCACAAGTCTACAACATTTTTATTCTTCACATAATGAAATGTCTAAAATTTAGTATCTCAATCACAAAAAAAAGAAGAAAAATTTTCAATTTTTATTCAATAGATTCACATATAGAATAATGGAAAAAATTCTTTTGCTAATTAATGTATACGGTATAGGTGTCTATATGCATATTCTTATCTATTCTTCTAATAGTATCATGCTTGTCGAATGAATTAGGCAGCACTCAACAACGTCGACGACACACTCCATCGATCATCGTCACTGACAACTGGTGTTATATGTTATCATGGCAAACAAATCTTAACTGTGCGATCATTTGCGAGTTCATTGATTCTATCATTGATGATCTTTTACTAGATGCAGCAATTAACACGCCTCTCTCGTTTTTCTCTCCTTCTTCTTCTCTTCTATCGTCAATCATATTTTCTTTTTTCGTCACCATTGTAATGTTTTTACAACTGGAGCTTGTCTCACATTCTAATTAAATCCGAGTAGTACATATAACTAATACTATTTCTTTTTATATGAATTCTTCTAAGATACAGATAAATTGGATGAGAAAAAGC